GGGCACGGACTCACCCCCGCTCCCGGCCTCCGCAGGGTGGTCTGCGGGACCCCCAACTACCTGGCGCCCGAGGTGCTGGAGAAGCGGGGCCACTCGGTCAAGTCCGACGTCTGGGCCCTGGGCTGCATCCTGTGAGCGTGGCGCACAGCTGGGGCGGGGGGCTCTCCTCTCCGGGGCAGCCAGCCCCTGCCCCCGGGGGGGACTTGTGGGATGGGAACAAAGGGTCTTCCCCTAATTGGGGGCTGCAGCTTGCAGGGGTGCCCCAAAACTGGGGCAGGCAGCTGGGCTGGGACATGCAGCCCCCACCTCGGGGGCCTGGGGTGGGGGCTGTGGGGGCTGCTCCTGGCAAGGCACTGACAGCCCCCCGCTGGGCAGCTACACGGCGCTGGTGGGCAGCTCGCCCTTCGAGGTCACCGGCAAGCAGGAGATGTACCAGTGCATCCGGGAGGGCCGGTACCCTGAGCCCAGCCAGCTCTCGCCCAGCGCCCGGAGCCTCATCGCCCGCCTGCTGGCCCCCGACCCCGCTGCGCGGCCCAGCCTGGACGAGGTGCTGCAGCACGACTTCTTCACCCAGGTAGGGCGGCGTGCACCGGGTGATGTGCCTGCGGGCATGCGTGTTGTGACCACCCCGAGTGTTCACACTCGGCCCGGTCGCTCGCCAGGGCTTCACGCCGGACAAGCTGCCGTCCCGCGCCTGCCACTCGGTGCCACTCTTGGCCGGGCCCAACCCGCTCAGCAAGCTCCTGCAGAAGGCGGCCAAGGTGCTGTTCCGGGGGGCACCGTGCCAGGAGCCCCGGGCAGGTGGGTCCAGCATCTCCCCCACCCCAGGCTGCACCGAGCGCTGCCTTCGTCCCCTCATGGCCTGTGCCCATGTCCTTGCAGGTAGCCCAGGGCCCAGCGAGGAGCCGGCGAGCCCTGCCGTGCCAGCCCAGCCTCCACCCAGCCCGGCGGCAGGGGCATGGGGGGCTGTGGGTCTTGGCTCTGCTCCCCTTGGCCCATCACCTGGCCAGGCTGAGCCCCTGAGTGAGGAGCCCGGCGGGGTCCCCATCCGCCTGCTCGCAAAGGGAGCGCTCAACTTCAGCGCCAACTGTGAGTGGGGGCACAGGACTGGGTACTGGAGAAAGGGGCAGTGGGGTTGGCTCTGAGCTGCAGCCTGGGACCCCTCAGGGCTGGGGTCATGGTGACACGGGGACCACAGGACAGCTCCTAGGTCCTGGACATCCTGGCATAAGGGGAGCAGCCCTGCTCATGGCAGAGGGCATGTGGGCTGGCTCTTTGCGGGGCACAGAGGATAAGTGGCTCTGGATATCAACCATGCAGCCTGGCAGGAGTGGGCTGGTAGTTGGGACTCCCGGGTTCTCTCCCCTGACCCCGACCCCTGCAGCAGACACAGACCGGAGCCTGGAGAGCCCAGTGGAGTCGGTCACCAGGGTGCTGCGGAGCTGCCTGGAGAACACGCCGCTGGGTACGAGGAACCCCGGAGCCCGAGCTACGCCGCCAGGCCCTTTTCTGCCCAGGCACTGGGTGCTCCCTGCAAAACTGCCTGGCCCCAGGACAGGCATGGGGGGGGCGCCCAACGAGTCGGCGCGGCGGTGCCTAGGGTCCAGCCGGCGGCAGGGGAGCATTGCTGTGGGGCTGGCACAGATGCAGCAGCTATGCCGAGGCTGCCTCCCACGCCCACCCCTCCGCTCCCAGCAGCCCCCCGCAACCCCCCGCCGTGCCAGGCTCAGGTCCTGCCCTGGGTCACCAAGTGGGTTGACTACTCCAACAAGTACGGCTTCGGCTACCTGCTGTCCGACAGCTCCACTGGCGTCCTGCTCACTGATGGCACCCACCTCGCCCTCTGCCCCCGGTGGCAGTAGGTACCGGGCACCCCGCGGACCCTGCACAAGCTCCCCGTGGCAGTGGCCCTTCTCCCCTGGCCTAGGCTGCTGCAGCCACCCCCTGCACCCCCCAGCTCCCACCTAGCCCTGGTCCCTGCTGCCTTCAGCCCCATGCCCCCTCATCCCTTCCAGGTGCATCCACTACTGCCCCAGGCTCGGGGAGGCTGTCTCCTTTGCCCGTGGGAAGGTGCCTGGCTCGCTGGCCGTGAAGATGGGCGTCCTGCACTTCTTCTCGCAGTACATGCAGCAGAAGCTGCTGGAGGTGGGTGCAGGGGCCATGATCAGCAGCAAGCGCTGGGGCAGAGCAGGAAGCCCCCCGGGCTTGCTCGCACGTGGCTGCCGTGGCCCACACTCCTGGCCTGTGCTGTGTCTGGGAGCCGCCAGGGTCGGTGCCCACCGCACCCACCAGCCCTGACACCGCCCCCACCCCACGCAGGGCGGGGACCTGCCGGCAGGGCCTGGTGACAGGGTGGATGACCTGTACCTGCTGCACTTCGCCAAGTCCGACCAGGCACTGCTCATGCTCTTCAGCAACCAGACCCTGCAGGTGCCCCCCTTTCTATTCCCTGCAGCTCCTCTGGCCTGGGGCAGGGTCCCCAGACACATGTGGCATGAATTTGGTGGCCTCAGATGTGCCCCCCTTTCACCGCAGGGTGGGAAGGGCCGCGGGGGCTGGCACTGCAAGCCCTGCCGCAGCCTCCTATGCGCCCTCCCCTCTCCCTGCAGGTCAACTTCTACCGTGACCACACCAAGCTGGTGCTGCACTGCGCCGGCCCCGAGCCCGTCCTGACCTTCGTGGACGGGGAGCGCCGCAGCGCCGCCTTCCCGCTGGGGGCCCTGGCCGTGGCAGGCTGCACGCCAGCACTGCGGGACCGCATGGAGTATGCCCTTGCCCTGCTCCAGCGCCTCTAGACCCCTCCACCACCACCCGGGAGGCTGCTGCAGCGCCGGGGCCTGCATTGCCCTAGGACCCCCTGCTGCTGACGGGGTTCAGGATCCCTGCAGCCTGCCCCAGGCTCCAGCAGCAGCTGCCAGGGGGAGGAGGAGTTGTGGGGGCAGGGGAGACAGGTGCCCGGGGCCGGGGGCACCTCCTGATGGGAACTGGTTCCCAATGAAGTGGTGCCGTGGGGGGAAGGGGGCTGGAGTGGACATGGCCTGTGCTGGGGGGCACGGGGCCTACTGGGGCAGGAGCTGCCTGCAGCACGTGCCCAGAGCGTGCCGGGAGGCACTGAAAGCAAAGGGGATGTGATGGAGGGTGCGGGGGGAGGCAGCAGCTTTCTGGTGGCTTGATGCCATGGTGAAGGTGAAGGCGAAGGAAGCCAGATGTCCGAGTGTGGGGAGAGGAGCAGGAGAGCAAGGAGGGTCCTGGAGAGGAGAGGGGAGCTGGAGCAGTCAGCAGGGCCAAGGGCATCCCGTGATGGTGCTGGGAGGAGGGGGCAGGGGCTGTTTAGGTGGAAGGAGGGTAAAAAGCGGGGCAAGCGGCAAGGGCCAAAGGGCAGTACGGGCCTGGAGGAGAGGCCGGATGTGGGGCAGCAGCGGTGGCAGGGTCTGGTCCCCACATGGGTGGGAGGGCCCTCGTTCCACCCCAACCCCCCCTGCTCCCTGGGGCAGCTGCTGCGTGGCTCTCCCTGCTTACCCATTCCTGGCGCATCTCTGGGCATCTCCATCCGGAGCTGGCAAGACGCTGCCGCACGTTTCACCCGGGCTTCGTGCACAAAGAGGCCGGGTGCGTGCATGCTGGAGCCATCCGACGGGCTGAGTCCGGGATTTGCGGGCTTCTTAATTAAACTCATATCTGCCATCGCACACGGCCTCTGTCTGATTCGGGCCCCGAGCCAGCCATGTTGGCCTGTGCCTCACGATTGCCAAGCAGGCGCAGGTCGGGGGGCAGAGGCCAGGTTTGCTGGAGTGCGTGTATGTGCATGCAGGGCTCACATGTGTGCACGCACCTCCATGTGCAGGGTTTGCACACCTGCTCCTCTAGGAAACTCACTAGGGAACACTTCCAGCACCAGGGCCTGGGCATTGGGACTGTGCTCGACTTGATCCCAAGCAGCCATGGGCCATCAGGGTGCTGCAGCCTCCCCCGGATGCTGGGTCTTGGGGTCTCCATGGCTGGGTCCAAGGGTCTGAGCCCTGCCCGGCCCCGCTCGGAGACAGCACCCCCGCCCTGCCCGTGCCCCCTGGGCAGCCCGCGGCAGGAATGCAGGGCACCATCACATGCCCTTGTTCAGAGATTAGCCCCTGAGAGCGACAAGGTCCTGGGGACGAGCCTATCGGGCCCTTCACAGGGACATGGCAGAGGAATGTGCCATGCACAGCAGACGGCCCCATTGCGGGGGCACATCCCACACCAGGCCGCCCACGACCGCCATCTGGAAGGAAGCTCTCTGCTTTGTGCCTCAGTTTCCCCACAGCTCAGGACCTAGCGCGAGGCAACCAGACTGTGCTTCACCCCCCCTCCACGTCCCAGGCTGGCGGTCATCCCCGGCTGCATGCCGTCCAGGCTAACCGAGATGCCGCTATTTAAATCGCAGATTGGTATTAAAAGCCCAGACTGGAGGAATCAGGCTGGGGCTGCCGCCAGCGTGAGCTGGGGGCTAAGCAGGCACCTGACATGTCAGTCCCCCTCCCTGAGGCTACAGCAGGAGGCTGTTGTGCCACGTGCGCGTGCATGTACGTGGCTGTGCGTGCATGCACGCCTGCCTGCCAACATTCACGCCTGCGTTTGCATCTGCACGCGTGTCTTCGCAGGCACAGAGCTCTTGGGCTGCAGGAGGAGTCAGATAGGGACTGTCAGGAGTACAAACAGCAGAGCCCCGCTCGCCCGTGGGGGCCGGGTGCTGGGTGGCTCCTCTCCAGCTCCGGGCCTGAACACAATGCCAGGGCCTGTGCCAAGAACACAGGCAGGGCGTGTGCGGCCATTGGCCGCCCCGGGGGGACGGGACAGGAATGCCACGGCCTCCCCGGCCAAGGTGATCCCCCCTGCTCTGGGGCCCCAGCTTTATTTCCAGCGCAGACACCGGGAATCCAGCACCACAGCAAGTTTAGCTTGGGGCTGCCAGAAAAGGCCCCTTCCCCCGAGGCTGCAGGGGACTGTGGCTCAGGGGTGGGGGAAGATAAAACCTGATCCCCACCCCTCCCCCCGCAGCTACTTTCATAAACGGCTGCAAAAATAGAGCCCGGGCTGTTTTAACCACAGCCCAGCACGGAGCCTGGTAAACAAAGGAGCTGCACAAACCCAGGCAGCTGGGAGCAGCAGTAGCTTGGGACCATTGCGGGGGGGGGGGGGGAAGCAGGTGTGTGCTGCCCCCTGCCGCACAGATGCTGCCAGCAGCCCTGTGCTCAAATTATAGGCGGGAAGCAGATACCTCTGCAGCCCGTCTGTAGGACGTGCTGGTGGGAAGTGGATCAGAGCTGGAGGAGCAGACAGGCCCAGGGCTGCCTCGGTGGCTGTACAGCCATCATGGGGGTGGGCTCTGTCCCAGGCACAAAGCAACCTAGGATATGGGTTCAAATTCAGCCTCTGCTGCCGCTTCTGCAGGCGACCCTGGGCCAGTCCCTTACTTTCTGCCTGCAAAACAGAGTTAATGGCAGCCCCCTCTCCCAGAGGAGACATACACCAAGAGCAAATCCAGCCCTGCTGAGATCCCTAACCCCCACCTACCGCAGAGCAGTGAGACGGGTCCCCACCAGCACCTGCTTCCCCAGGCAGGGACTGCGCAGGGCCGAAATCCGCTTACGAAAACCTTTTATTGGTGCCAGGACTCATCTACAACCCGATCGGCGGGACAAGCACGGGGAGGGGAAGTAACAGAACCGCGCTGACCGCGCACGCAGATAACGGAAACACGTCGGACCTCTCTGCCGGCAGGACGGGGGCTGAAGACAGTGCAGTGCAACAAAGGACGTCCATCAGTCGTCCCTCGCACCCTGGTGAAGCTACCCCCAGTGCAGCCATCAATGCCAGTTTGCTGCACGGGCAGCCTGCGGAAGGAGGGGGCTATCCCCCCGTTCTGGCAGCTGAGAGGGGAGAGAGCTCAAAACACAAGTCCTGTAAAACCCCAAAACTGTTACGTTTAAAAAACAAGGAGCACCCACAGCACCAAGGGGGTGAGGGCCGAGCCTGGCAGGGCACCCCCGGGACAGACACACACTCACGGCTAGAACAGGGGGGCAGGGAAGAGATTGAACGCAGGGAAAGGATGTGGTAAGCACCAAGAGCCGCTTCGCCCACTACATACCACGCTTCTGGGTCACGCCGGTGGTTGGGGACACAGCCTGCCTGACAGGACCCAGGGCCGAGGACCTTCCAAAGGCAGGCTTTGCCAGAATAGGGCAGAGCCATTTGTTTGCTGCTCCCTGTCCTCCTAGGGACCCCTGAACAATGCCTCAGTCAGGCTTCCACCTCAGGGGGATGTGAGCACCTCCTATGCCGTTCCATGCACAAGCGTGCCCAGATCCAGAAGAAATGGCTCAGATGGGAAGGAAAACCTGAGCCAAGGCAGCCCTGAAGGAAGGGTCTTGGTGAGGTGCCCTAAGGAGCCCATCCCCAGGCTCCGCAAGCTGATATCAGTCCCACGCCTGGGTGCTCATCCCTTCCCTGCCTTGATCCGTCTGTGGCGACAGGTTTCCAGGATGCAGCTGAAATGCAGCAACCAAGAAACAGCCATCAGATGCAGGGCTCCTTTGATGCTCAGGTGTGAGCAGAGGGCAGGTGGATCCGTCATGTCCACAGCCCCTCTCCCGCCCCGGCGATAGGGATGTCTGTACCCAAGGATGCAAGGAATCTGGGGGAAACCGGGAAGCATCAGGGACAGCCCAGGGGTCCTCCCAGCTACAAGGAGCCAAGCTCCCTGCTGCCATCACACACAGAAGCATCTCCCCCTTCCCTTTGCCCCAAAATTGGTGCTGTACAGCCAGGCTGCAAAGAGAGCTCCTCCCTTCTTCCAAGCAGAACAGCAGCACAGGGAGAAGCCCCAGGTACAGCCTGGATTTGGAGGCGGGGGTCCTCCAGGCAGGAAGGCAAGAAAGAACAGGGCATGTTTTCCAAAGTGCTGGATGCCTTTGGGTGCTGATACTGAGCTGTATCAGTCCTGCCTCCCTGGCAGAGCACGCACCCTGCAGCTCCAGGTGAAATCAGAGCTGGCAGAACCAAAACAGCATGAGTGCAACGGCCAAAAATCCAGGCGCCTGAGGGCAGCAGGCATGTCTGGAAATGTGCCCGCATGCCTCCTGCCTCGGCCGTTCTCAGGATGAGACGGGGGAGAATGTCAGGCAGGGAATGAACTGTTTTGTGGCTGCGCAGGGTGTTGGCTTAGGTTCCTCCAACTCTGCAGCCCAGCGGTGAGTCCAGGGCTGGCAGGAGTTCAGGGCACACTCAAAGGGGGCAGGGTGCACTGCTATGGACTGATTTACTGCCTCCAATCTCACCTTGCGGTGGGGAGGGGTGCTTGAATAAATCTGACTATTTTTCAACCCCTTTCAATAAATCAAGGACTGCAGCGAAGGGTTAGAAGTCAGGCTTAGCATCCCAGCAGCTGGAAGCCAGCAGGATCCCTGCCTGGAGCATTTCCCCAATGCTCAGTCAAGCAGCAGCAATTCACAATCATCAGCTAATCTGTGTTCCCAATCCTCCACCCTGTATCTCCTACTACCCTGGACACAAGGACAAGGTAGTACAGGAAAGCTCCTCCCTTCCTGCCCCAGCACTTCTGATAGGGAAGGAAGGGAAAACGGCTATTGCTGGGAGGACAGGGAGGCTAGGAAAGGGCAGGCACTCTGTGGGAGGCGCTTCTCAGCTGGCTCTCAATCAGCATGGGGGGAGATCCTTCCTTAACGAGCCCTCTGGGTCAGTCTCTGCCGGCCAGTGTCAGAGAGCCAGGTTGCAAGCTGGGAGGTGCTTGCTGTGTAAACTGGTGAATCAGCTCTTTCACCAACCCCCTCCCTCGCTGAACCCGAGCCAATCTGTGCCCTGATGCAGAGCAGCATTTCAGTGTTACAGTAGTGTTTCCCCCACTCCCAGGGAAGACACCTGCAGCTGGTTCGTGGGGCCTGCTTCCCCATGAGCTGGCCAGCCCTGCCGCTCCATGCCGGAGCTCAAGGGAAGGATATGGTGGCAGGGTCATCCAGCAGGTGCTTGGGAGGGGGCTGATGCAGCTTGGCGCTCTGACTCTGGAGAACAAGTACACAGACGAAGGTGCTGGCATCACTGGGCTGGGCAAGGTGGGGCAGAGCTCAGCAGGCCGAAGGCAGCGAGTTGGGCTCCACCTTCAGTCCCTTGCTGGCAAGGAAGGCATCCTGCTTGGGCTCGCGGCCGAGGAACTTCCTCAGCATGTCGCAAGCGTCCACAGAGCCGCCAGGGTGCAGGATGCAGTTCTTGTAGTCCATGCCCACCTGCATGGACAGAGGTAGTGAGGATTCCGAGAATTTGATCGGCGTGCGCAGGCCGGGCAGGGACAT